ATCATAACCAACGTTTCTATTATCCAAAGAACAAAACAAAAGTATCGAAATCAATTTGTAATAAGTAAAAAAAAGTATTGAGTGTTAAAAATTGCTACTGATAATAATTTATAGCTACAAAGAATTGTTTCAACAATTAAAAATCGAAAAAAAGTTGTAATTATGGAAGGCCCACTACCGGACCGGGCTTAAAAGTTTCAGAATGGATAGCAGTTTAAATTAAAAAATCTTCAAGAAAATCGAAGGATACGCACAGTTTTAAAAACATGATCCAAAACTTTAAATTCAAAAATCTCAATTAAAAACACTTTAAATACTTTCTGTAAAGGCCATATAAAAACGAAAATTGTGAAAATATAAAAATGGAATTTCGACCATTATTTAGAAAGTTATGACCAAGAAACCAAAAATAGAGCTGTTTTTTTGAAAATTCGATATGCATCGATCCAGCGATCAAGAAAATCTCAAAATTTACCAGGAAGTCACTTTTGAGGAGTACTAAAAAATATTTAAAAAATAATAAAATTAAAAACAACACTTTTTTAAACCGTTCGATTTAGCGTGGAACGTCTCTTTACCTTAACTGACATATTTACTTATAATACTCACCCTGAATAATTCGTATTTTCCATCACTTTTAATGACCTGTCACACTTGCAACCTACAACTGAATTGACGCATGATCCTGTCGGCGTTCGCAAGGGTAACAGGTGGTGATGCCCAGGTATGGTCCAGTTACGCATGCGCATTGGAAAAAGCTGAACGCGCAGTACTGTAGCTATAGTCAACGATGCGTAGCCCCAAATCATTATACTTGTATTTTTTTGGTGGGCGACTAAGGGCGCCAGTTTCATGGTCGTATTAGATACTTTACTGATGCTAAAAACAGTGCGCATGTGGCACCGCAGCTCGGCGCATTCGTGCGGCCTGCGTACTATATTATATGAAAATAAACAAAAGGAAAATGTATTACATTATATATCAATGGATTTGGAAAGAAATTTCTGATTAAAGGTAGTAAAGGATGTCATACGCCCGCATGCATTGCGATGCGCCGTATCTTTTATTCGTCAGCTGAGCACTTTTCCACGGGAAGAACCGTAACAACGTGAACGTGATGCCATTGGATTCTTGATGTTCTCCTAATTAAAATGATATATTACATCGCCTAAATCGGACGTTTTTTAAAGAAGATACTCTTCAATCACGCGATAAAGTTCGGCTCGCGGTGCCGTGCCCGTTCCCTAGCCTCGCAGTGTCAATTCGCTAGGTCCCTCCGACCCCTCCTACGCGAGGTGATGACACTTTGAAGTGGGTTGTGAGGCGAATGCGCAAGCTGAAGATCACTTCACAGCCCCTCACGCGCCACAGACAATACAACTCTCATTCAAACGGTCGAAGTGAATTTGAAGCAATTTGTCTTACGGTTCGTACGACAAATAGTATCGTGTATGGGGCGTTTTAGAATTTCGTTCATTTTCGTCCTCAATAGCCGTTATTCCTAAACTTTGAAAACTCAAAGGTTATGCACGCCTGTGCAACACATGGGTCCACTTGGCGAAAGTGCCGTCTTTTACTGGGCCCACGGCATAACAACCTTAGTCTTGACGTCTCGTAGTCGCCTTGTCCCTACTATTGACTTCTTTCTCTCTCACAGTCTGTGTTTTTTTACTAGACAACATCGAGTGGCTCGGCTCTGTTCAGCTAGTTTGAATCGATCAGTCTCATCATCCGGGTGCGTTAAAGATTTCAATTTTAATTAATTAGCGTGTGAAGCGATTTTAAGTGTTTTTAATTGTTTTTTATTTTTTTTTCATTTTTTTAGCTTATTTATCTTTTTTATTTTTTTTCTTACCTATCTTTTTTATTTTTTTAGTCTTATTCTCTTTATTTGTTTTCATTTTTTCTGTGTGTGAAAATTGTCAACATGCCGAAGTATCGAAGAACGGGACATTCAAAAACGATGTCATTGAGGCAAAGCATACTTCGTACGCGAAGATGCAAGGAAGTATTACGTCCAGCAAACTTGCCAACAGGTATGTGCGAACAATGTCAAGAAGAGCAGGAAAGTGCAATGAGCAGACTTAACGATGACAGTGCGAATATACATGTTTGTAATAACGACGCGAGCATGTTGGAATCGCTAAAGGAAACAGATGCGTCTCCTGCGCCTTCGATGAATGCATGTAATGAGTTAGGATACTCAACATCGGAAATGCAAAACGATACGGACGAAAATAACAAAAGTATCATTCTGCACGAAAATGGGAACATCGATGCAGATCGTTTGCATCCTGCCGAGATTAGTGGAAGGAGCATTGTCGATTTTGGACATATTTTTGTAGAATTGCAAAAACTGTCCAACCACAATCCGAACATGTGCATCTTCACTAATCTGGTCATTACGAAAACGTCACGGGTTGAAAACCAAGTATTTTGTCGAATGTCAAATGTGTCGTTTTAGAGATAACTTCTGAAGCGAACCGACAGACGACAACATATTGGATATCAATAGAGGTGCCATATACGGTACTCTATTGACAGGGACTGTCCACACGCAGTTAAAAGAACGGTTGGCTGCTATCGATGTTCCATGTATGTCAAATAAAATATATGTAAAGTATGAAATCGAAGTATCTAAAGCTTTTGCTGACGCCGCAGAAGAAGAAATGCGTGTTGCCGGCGAAGCGGAAAGGCAATTAGCAATTGCGAGAGGTGACCTACTCGATGGTGTTCCCCATATACCTGTGATAACGGATGGTTCATGGATGAAGAGATCGTATCGCAGCGGCGGTTACGATTCTCCGTCTGGAACTGCCCTTATCGTAGGTTATTATACGCGAAAAGTATTATACGTAGGTATTAAAAATAAATATTGTGTCGTATGCGCACGAGCATCCAATAGACTTGCGGCACCGAAAGAGCATGCATGTTTTAAAAACTGGGGACGTAATCAGAGCTCCACCAGCATGGAAAGTAGCATTATCCTTAAAGGGTTTTGCAGTAGTACACAAATGCATGGTTTGATTTACACTAGTTACATCGGAGATGGAGATAGTAATGTTTTAAAAAAATTAAGAGATTTCCCTCCTTACCCAAACGTTGTTGTGCAGAAGATTGAATGCATGAATCATCTTCTCCCCAATTTAACGAATAAAATACAATACGCGGGCAATGGTACTAACATTGCCTCATCGTTAAAAAAAAAAGTTTGTAGTAATGAAAGCGTAATGAGAATTAGAAACGCTGGAGTGAAGGCTGCAACGTATTGGCGCAATACCCAAATACCTTGGGAACACAAAATTGCTGGTTTAATTAAAGATTTACGAAACATACCTAGTCATGTTTTCGGTGAACACAAAGGTTGTGCTTCGTTACAATATTTTTGCGACGGTAATTCCAAACAGAACGAGGCAAATCTTGTTACTGAATTAAATGGGACGACTCTATATGCTAACATAAAAAAAGCAATGAAACGTATGACAGAGAATGCGGAAAGTTTATTGTACCTGTATACCAGCAATTCTGTGGAAAGTTGCAATTCAATTATTTGCATTTAGCTCAAAAAGGTTCTTACCAAGCACGTGTAAAAGCAACAGTCGTAAAATGTAATAGTTTGAAACCGATGACTGGTGCTTGCCGTGCAATGGGTAGAGAGCCGCTAGCACGTATGGAAATGCTAGAAGAAAAACATATTGCACGAAGTAGAAGACGTGAAGAGCATTTGCGCGTATCTAAAGAATTAGGTGGTATTGTTCGTGCATTCAAGTATTCTGGCCGCAAATAATCAACTGACAAAGATTATGGTCCAAACGCGGAACGGCCAGATTTGGATGATAATATTTACGAACAATTAAAGCTCGACTTTTATGAAAGGTTGCGAAGTCAGCAACAGACGCGTGACGTATTGGAGTTTGTTACTCGGAATCAGCATGAAAATCCACAGTGGCATCTCATACGTAAAAAAGTGCTCACCGCTTCCCATTTTGGAAAAGTATGTTGCAAACGAGGTACAACTTCCTGCAGAAGCTTGGTAAAAAATATTTTAGACAAGAATTGGAGGAGCTATTGAGAATTCAAATCAATGATTGTGGGCTGTTCATTGATGCTGAATTCTCATACTTTGGCGCGACGCCTGATGACACTGTTGGCGACGATATTATTGTTGAAATCAAATGCCCTTACGCGGCGCGTAAAATGTCTCCTAACGAAGCAATAGATAAAAAGGTTGCAGGTCTTAACCGCGTATTTGCTAAAAATGATGACAGTAATATGAATAAAAACCACGCGTACTATTTCCAAGTTCAAGAGCAACTGCACATTACGCAAAGAAAGTATTGTATTTTTGCAATGTGGACGCCTGTTGGAATAAAGTATGTGATTGTTCAGCGCGATGATACATTTTGGAAAGACAAAATGTTACCATCGTTACAGCGATTCTACGAAGACTGCTTGGTTCCCGAACTAATAGATAGTAGAGCTGTTAGAAGCATGCCAATTCGGGAACCGCAGTACATCATTGAAGCGCAAGAAGCGGCCAAAAGCAGGAAAATTGTATCGAATAGTTAATAGCTATGTAGAAATACGTAAAAAATTGGTAGTATGCTGCATGCTTAACTGATTTATGCATGTTACAAGTCCAGCCATCATGGAGTTTTAGTAGTATTCCTCTCCTTCTGAGGGGCGAGCCCAGGTTGCATGCTTGTAATAAACTTATGCATGCTTGTAATATTTCATGAATGCTAAGGTTGTTTTTGTTAATATTTATTTTGGTGTAGTTTTAGTGACCATTCCTCTCCTTCCGAGGGGCGAGCCCACGTTACATGCTTGTAATAAATTTATGCATGTAATATTTCATTAGTGCTACGGTTGTTTTTGTTAATATTATTGTGCCCTCACACCCGACTATGCCCGGTCAAGAATGTCCGAAATCAGCGACATACTTTGACGCGAGGACTGCGAACTTGCAGCACTCGCGCCTGGCAACATGACCATATATGGTCATGCCCGATTGCCAACAAAGACTATAAAAACAATAACACCTTGTAAAAGACAGTTCTGAGCACATTTTGAATAAAGTCATTGTTGAGAGTAGATCGCTGGAGTTACGATCCTTCGACTCATCATTGAACACCGGTGAATTCCAATTCTTTAAACGCTCCAAAACCCACGATATCCCAAAACCCTTTAAAAACGCCTGAGGGCACAACAATTTGGTGGCAGCGGTGGGATATCGTCAAGTCTAACGGTTCGTGAAGTACAATTTCATTAAAGATCGTCGAGTTAAGAGTCAACACTGACAAAGTATTGATTCATTGCTAGGAATGCCAAACGCAAAGAGACTACCGTTTTGCTACCGAGGTGTCATCAAGGAGCTGACTCTGGACGTGCTCTGAAGAGACGTACATCAGCCCAAAACGGCAAGCCGGGACCAGTCGCTGGTGAGGACAACACGACCAAACGACGCCCAAGTACTGATCTGAGGATCAACGACGAGGATATTCAATTCCGGATCATCTTTCGAAGTCGGACATCAGGAGCTAACGGGAGTTCGAGGAAAAGCAGTCAATAGCAATCCGAGGACCAATTGACAGCGAGAGCGAAGCATCTTCCAGCGAGCAGCCGAGTGAAGTCCGAGGACCACCGGAACGCGGAACAACAACATCCACAACATGCAGATAACTCTACTGCTGTAAGTCCTAACTCGCATGTATCATAACAAATTGTAAACCAGAATCTTGTATGTCGGAACAAGGTAACGATACAGATCGTTTTCGATTACCATATACTAGAGTCATTTCGAGATCGTTTGAATCAATATTTGACAACTATTTAAATTATAGCCGTCACGTAGCTACGACTTCACCTTTTTCCGACTCAGCGATAACATTTCGTAGACGCATACGCGCACCATCCATACACTTTGATTCCGATTCATTAAGCGGCAGTGAAAACTTTGAACACGTAATTAGGGAAAGAGAATTCCTTATAGAAGAACACGATTTTAGTTTATTGCAAACAGAAAATATGGCATCTAACGTACTAAACAGTCTTGCACTAGTAAAAGAATTGAGGGAAACGTCTCCCACAGAAGTGTTAGCGTTCATCGATTCGTGTATGCTAGCCTCAGAGTTAACGACACCAGACAATCGATCACTTCTATTGCGAGCTATTTTGACTACAAAACTAAGCAATGTGGAATAGATTAAGATAATAGAATCAATGTGTCTCAGATCATCAAGACCCATACTTTCTCTCTTGCAGGCTTTTACATAATTTGTCAATTTAAGACTCTTACGATATGAGTCTATTTCCATTGCATTGCGTTTTAAATTATTTCCAAGGTCATTCAGATAATTTATCAATTTAAAACTCTGACAATATAAGAACACTTTCATTATTTTGCGTTTTAAAATAATTCTTATTCATCGACACGACCTTGCTTGGCCACGCCAAGCGTTTGACTTCCAGGCCGCGAACATCAAGGCAAATTTTTAAACAGCCTCAGTTTGTAGATGATACGCTATTTAACTTCTTCATGTCATCGCTAAAGTGTGGAGCAGTCACTTTACATGAATTGTCATTAGGATCTGAACGTCCGCACTGTTGAACACAGCATTTTAGCTGCACATAATTGGAAATCACCGAATTTTACATTGTGTTACACAGTGTCGCCTTTGCACTTTATTGGAAAGGACTTTCATGTACTGGCTGCTCATTTTGATTTCACATCTTTTTCTACTTTCTTGTACTTTTTTATGGGGATCTTTTATTTTTCTATGATAGCTCCTTGAGTCCTCCACTTTTTCATGTACTTGGCGTAATTTTTTTACTTTTTTGAAGTTTTTTGTGAGGATCTCACTTCTTTTTACAAAGATAATTTGTATAGTGAATGACTTCAAACAATAGAAAATGGGAGATCAGTTTGAATCCTTTAAGGTTTCAGAAATACGCGGAACGCATTGCAGGAAGTCTCATTGCAAGAAATTTATTAAAGAAGAAATGAGAAATGAATAAAGAGATCAACTATTTCTAACGCACAATTTATTGTTTTAGAATATAGTTCATACATTCACAGAACGCATGGCAGAAAGACTTGTAGCAAATTTAAATAATGAGAAAATGAGAAAGGGAACAGAGATCCACTATTTGTAATACATAATTTATTGTATTACAATAATATAGAAAAAGAAAGGTCAGACTTAGTCCTTTAAGTTCTCAAAAGTATGCACGACAACATGACAGAAAGTCATGTTGCATTTAAATGTTACTGATAAACTGATTACATTTTTTTTTTAATAAATTGCTTGCAATGAGACTTACTGCAATGTGTTCCACATACTTTTGAAACCTTAAAGGACTCAAACTGATCTCCCATTTTCTATATTATTGTAATCAGTTTATCAGTAACATTTAAATGCAACATGACTTTTTGTCATGTGTCGTGCATATTTTTGACAACTTACATGACTTAGTCTGACCTTTCTTTTTCTATATTATTGTAATACAATAAATTATCTATTACAAATAGTAGATCTCTGTTCATTTTCTCATTTTCTCATTATTTAAATTTGTTACAAGACATTCTGCCATGCGTTCTGTGGACATATGAACTGTATTCTAATACAATAAATTGTGCGTTAGAAGTAGTTGATCTCTTTATTCATTTCTCATTTCTTCTTTAACATTTAAATTTCTTGCAGGTAGACATCCTACCATGCGTTCTGTATACTTTTGAAAACTTAATGGACTGAAGTTGGTCTGTTTCCTATATATGGCTTTAGACACATTATGTATATTATAGACTCTACGCTTACTATAATAAAAGACAAATGTATTTTTACATTAAATGTATTCTACATTAATTTGCAAGTAAAATAAGGTTTGTATGTGTTATTTACAAATAAAATTAATCTCATATGAATAACGCACAATTTATTATATTACAACACCAGATTCAATCCCTTAAGTTTTCAAAAGCACACCGAATGTAAGGCAGAAAGTCTTGTTGTAACAAACTTACATGTTAAAAATGAAGTATGAAATGAAAAAAGAGGTCTGCACTATTTCTAACCCACAATTTATTATATTATAATACCAGTTTCAGTTTTTTATGTTTCCAAAGTACACACAACGCATCGCAAAATGTCTTGTTGTTAGAAATTGAAATGTTAAACATGAAATGAGAAATAAAGAAAGAGATCCACTATGTGTAACCCACAATTTATTGTATTATAATTCCAGTTTCAGTCCTTTGAGTTTTCAAAAGTACGCACAATGCATGTCAGAAAGTCTTGTTGCAAGGAACCAAATGTCACGAATCCTAACTGACAGTTACAGGTTATAAATGAACGAGCGGCATGAGTGACAGCCATATTACAATTCCGACTGACGAGCCTTACCGACGAATTCCGAGAGTCGACGAATCGACGAATGGTCTTAGCTCCTATTGGCTAAGTGTTGACAAAAAGAATAAGAATCAGAATCAGAAGAAAAATCTACAATTTCTGACTGATTCATGACATAATATTACGATATCTCAGTTGTAAATAGACCTATTTTATTGATTTTGGTTTTATTAGAAACCTTATATACGATTTACATTAGAAAAATGCCTTTGGATTTAGAAAATACAGCAGGCGTGACGAGATATTAATGACAGCAGTTTCGGGTTAGGTTTGAATCGCAGTTTTACGAGTAAATATACGTAGTAGCGCCAGCGCCAGTATACACGGTGGCGTATAATTTTTCATGTACTTGGCGTCGAGACGCTACCGCGTCTCTAGATACGCGCAGTAACAGATAAACACGGTCAAGGAATTATAAAAAAGCAAATGCTAAAACCGGAAGTTTTCATAGGAAATTGTTTAACAGAGGCAAACAACGGTACTTGCCTCGTACCAGTAGTAAATCTGACAGAAAAAATAATTCGAATACCAGCACCTAAAGTGCATATGGACACTTGCAACACTGACCTACTTAACGAAACGGACGATCCGTGCAGCAGTCAACAGATATTCAACACCAGGATTATGACCGGCAGAGATAGAATGCAAGCATTACGAGATAGTGTGATTACCGAACACTTAAATAATGAAGAGAAAGACAGTATATTAGAACTCTGCGAAAAATATAACGACATATTTTTTCTAGAAGGAGACAAATTAGGATTTACTGACAAAATAAAGCATAAAATACGTCTAATGTCTAATGCAAAACCGGTAAATGTAAAACCGTATCGATTACCTCAAATACACAAAGAAGAACAGTTCTTCGACTGTGGGAATATCCAGTGTCCTTTTTATATTTAATATAATGGATTGTTGGGATCTCATTTTTTTTATATTTGATTTAGCTGCCATACCCCAAATTTGTATCCCATATGTCCAAATAGGTTTTATTATGGTTTTATAAATTAATAATTTATTGTTCGAGCTTAATTTAGATTTTTTTTGACGTTAGCCAATACATGGATTTTCTCATTAGCTTTATGTGTTTAATTTTTTCTTCTATGTGCTTTTTCCAATTTAGCTTGTGATTCAGATGAAGTCCAAGGTATTTAACAGAAGTTGTCTGTGGAATTTCCTGGTTTAATAGTCTAATTTTAGGAGTTGCTTTTTTTTAAGAGTGAATGTAATGTGCGAACACTTGTTTGAATTTAATTTGATTTTATTATCTTTTGTCCAGTTCTCTATCAAATTTAAGTGGTTTTGTAGGTTTTCTGTTGCTATTTCAATGTTTTTGTGTGTGGATAGTATAGCTGTGTCGTCTGCAAAGCTATAAGTTTCCATTTCCAGCATCGTTGGCATGTCTGCAGTATACAGAGAATATAGGATGGGTCCAAGTACGCTTCCTTGTGGAACTTCAGCGTGAATTTCTTTGAGCAAGGAACATGTATTTCTAATTTTAACATAAAAGTATCTGTTCGTAACGTAAGATAAAATAACGGTGTATATGCTATTTGATAGGGATGTTTGTAACTTCCTAGGTAGTCCTTCGTGCCAGACTTTATCAGACGCTTTTTCCACGTCGAGGAACAATGCAGTGCAGTTATTTCTTTCTTCCATTGATTTAATTACATTATTTGCCATTCTGTGTATTTGATCTGCGATATTATGATTCTTCCTAAATCCAAATTGGTAGTCTGGGATTAGATGTTTAGCAGTTATCTCGTCCATTAATCTTTTATGTATTGTTTTCTCTATTACCTTAGATATTATTGGGAGTAGGGATATCGGCTTGTAAGAGGATGGTAGTTTTGGATTTTTACCTGGTTTATGTAACAGTATTATTTCCGCACATTTCCAAATCTGTGGGAAATATTCATGTCTAAATATGGCGTTTGACAGGATTGTTAAAAATCTCACTCCTTTAGCCGTTAGTTTTTTTAACATTTTTGATGTTATCAAGTCGTATCCAGGAGATTTATTATTTTTTAAGTTTTTGATTAATGCGATGATTTCTTGTTTTTTTTTATTGCTTTATGATTAATTAGGTTATTGGTAACTGTGGCTATGGGGGTGTGCGGTTCATTTGTGAATACTGTTTGAAGGTAATCTGCCATGGTTTCGGCTTGGTTTTCCAAAGATTTTGTCCAACTTCCATCCTGTTTTTGAATTGGCGGTATCGGGATAATTGGTCTTTTTAGTTTTTTTGTACATTTCCAAAGCGAGTAATTTGTTCTTTCGGTGTGATCCAGGTTTTTAATGAAATTCGTGAAGTTGTTGTTAGATTTTTGGATTTCAGTCTTGATTTGATTGGTGAGCTTGTTGAGTTGATGCTTGTAGCGTGGCCATCGTATCCTTTACCATTGTTTTCTCAGTCTTTTCCTGTTTCTAATCATTTCGATGATATGTTTCTGGTACTGTACTGCTGCCTCCGTTTTCTTGTTTTTTTTTTTGTAACCTGTTGAGGTGTAGACTGCTGATTGCATTACAGTAGTTAGCAAATCAGCAGCTATTTCAATATCCTGCCCAGTTTTTAGAGGTATCTTACAACTTAAGGTAATGTTAATTATTTCTTTATATAGTGTCCAGTCTGTTATATGATTTGCAGTAACACCTTTTCGTCTATTACCGCTTCCTGTTCTAACTCAAATACTGTAGGGGTGTGGTCTGAGCTTAGTTCGAGTGATTCTCTTGCTTTTATAGGTAAGTTTGTATTTATCCAGGATGTCCGGATACAGAATAAACTAGACTAACTAAACTTTCGAAAAATGCGCGTTGGATATCGTAGGATCGCTCCCGGAAACGAATAACCGAAACAAATACATATTAACGTTTCAAGACACATCATCGAAATTTAGCAAAGCAATTCCACTTCCTGACCAAGAAGCTAACACGATAGCTAAGGAATTTGTAACCAAGATAATATGCGAACACGGAATACCGAAAACAATTCTCACAGATCAAGGAACTAATTTCCTGAGCCAAATTTTCAAGGATACTTGCAAGCTTCTCAAAATCAACAAAATACAAACTACAGTTTATCATCCCGAATATAACGGAGCGCTAGAAAGAAGTCATCGCACACTAGCTGAATATTTAAAAAACTTTATTAACGAGGATCAAGCTAACTGGGACGATTGGTTACCATACGCAATGTTTACGTACAACACCACTCCGCATACAGCGACAGGTTTTACGCCCTACGAATTAATGCACGGAAGACAAGCAGAACTCTACCGACGTCACTTACACTACCACACGTTTTTTTTTTTTTTTTTTAACGAGGGGGAAATGCATTAAGCACACCCGGCGATGTAGGGTTCTTTCGCCGGGTAGTGTGGGACTCCCAGCGGGCTTGATCGCCCGCGGTATACCCACTAACACCCCCCCGATGGCCAACGTCGGGCATTACGGCGGCCGTGAGCACTCTAAAAAGAACTCCACCACGGCCGCCGTGCCTAGGCTCCCCTAATCGTTGGGGAGCCCATCTCCTCAATTTCTCTCGGCGCCAGGGGCCATACCCTGACGCCGACCGCCTTGGGACCGGTCACGAAGACGGCGGCGCCCTACCGCCAGCCGTCTCGGTCCCCGCGGTCCCTCGCGCGACACGCCGGGTCACCATGACTGTGACCCATGACAAACGTGCGCGCAAGGGGCCGTCTCACCATTCTGGACGCCCTCGATCAGGGTGGCCAGCGAGCAGGCAGGCCATTAGGGGGCTCCGGGCACCCCGGTACCGATCCCTCCAGCTGTGTGGGGATCGGCCGGTAATACGGCCGAACGCCGCCTCCAGGCCCACCTAACCCGTCTTCTCTCTTGACAAGCGGGATCGGAGCGTTCCCGATACCGCTCGTCTGCCTCCTTCTGCGATATGACTGCATCGCAGAAGGAGGCTACCGCATTCCACGACCTCTCGCTGTCGATCATGGCAGCAACTACGGCCGGCAGCGAAAGGTCCCCACCAATCTGTATTTCTCCTCCAACGTGTGTTGGGCCGTGTCCAGCACGGCCCCACACTGATGACACTCGGGCGCCGCCTCCGCATCCACCTTATGCACGTACTCACCGAAACATCCGTGCCCGGTGAGTACCTACGTGAGCCGGTAGGTGTGCCTGCCATGCCCGCGGTCCAGCCAACCATCAAGGTTGGCCAGAACCGCGCCGACAATGCGCTTGCGGGCAGCGGGGCTGTTTAGCAGCTCCCACCATCACGCATCTCGTGCACACCGCCGTGACTGGCGCTTCCATCGTTCGACCGCTTCAGCCGGCGGTTCCTCCCTGCTCCGGCGGTGCTCCTGCCGACGCCTGAAAACTTCGGCATCGGCGGCCGCTTGGAGGTCAAAGGGGAGGTATCCCGCCAGGATCAGCGTCGCCTCCGTGGAAATGGTGCGGTAGCCCCTCACCACTCTGATGGACACCCGCCGCTGTATGCGGCGGAGCACATGCCGGCTTTGCCAGGGTGTCGGCCCATACGGGACATCCGCATAGGGCCATGGCCCGCACCACTCCAACATAGAGGCGACGCATCCTCTCTTGCGGCTCCCCGAGATTGGGCATGAGGCGACCAAGCATGGTCGCCACCCTCTCAACCCGGGGGGACAAGCGGTCGAAGTGACCTTTGAAGCGCCAGCAGCCATCGATGTCCAGGCCGAGATATTTGATCCGGTCCTGGACATCGATGCAGGCTCCACCTATGCGGATCCGCGCCGGGGGAGGTCGCCGCGACAGAGGCAGCCCGTGAAACCAGACCGCCTCCGTCTTCTGCGGCGACACTTCCAACCCCAAACTTACACTACCACCCGAACCTAACTATACATATGACAGATACGCACACGAACTGAAACAAAGACTCAGATCTACCAATGCGATAGCCAGAGACACCTTATGAAATAATAAACAACGTTCAAAACAACATTATGACAAAAGGACTACACGCAACAAATTTAAATTAGACGACAAAGTACTGCTACACGACGAAACAATCAGACGAGGAAGAACAAAAAAACTGTCACCGATCTAGATTGGACCATATACAATTATTCAAGTCCGCGATAAAGAAAACTACACAATCAAAAAGGGCCATCGATTTCTACGCGTGCACACTAATAGATTAAAACACTTCGCGGAATAGAAAAAAAAAACAAAAAAATATATATATCCTAACAACCACCCCGACCTTGCAGGTCAGTATTTTGGTTACTGGTGTTTGCAGGCGACGCAACGGATACCAAACCTTACCAAATCACGGCATTCCCAAGCCAACCAGGTGTCTATTTCGAAGACATAAGAAACCTGCAGACGTATAAGGATACATGGAAATTGGTATTCCACATCGACACAAGTTCACTAAGTCTCCGATATACTAAAATCAAGTCTGCACTAAACGGCGCCATGAGCCACTGCACGAATAATCCATACCACAATATGAAAAATTTCTGCGATAAATTTTCCCTCATCTCAAACAATTTATTAGACCAAACTAAAATTAACTTAAACACGGCATATCAAATTCTTGATCCGTCTATGCGCGTTCGCCGCGGTTAAATCGACGGAATAGGATATTTAGGAAGAGTATTATTCGGCACAATGGACGCAAAAGACAATGAATCGATTAAAAGACAGTTACAAATTTTGAAACAAGAAGGAATTGCCCAACGGACTTCCTTATTAGACCAAATACAAGTAGTCAACGCGAACATTAAATTATTTAACGAGACTATGAGTAATATAAATCAAAACAAACACATGTTACTAAACGCAACAAATACCCTGAGACAACTATTAGAGACAGAAACTGACAGTCGAAATTACCAAGCCATGATAGACGAGAATTCAATTCTAATCGAAAACATAATCAGAAACCTCGCAGGCGACGTACGCAACCTATTAAATTTCGCAGTAGATATTAAAAAAGGAATTCTCAATTCGCTAGTTATACCACCGACAGAAATTATCTGACATGCTGAGTCAACACTACCTCTACTACCAAAAGGTTTAAGACCACCATTACCACTGAATACCGTAAACGTATACTCACTCACTAATACAGCAGGATATGCCGAAAACATATAATTAACACAATAATTGAAATGCCCTTGGTAAGCGCAAAAACGTACAAACTAAACAAAGTTTATCCCGTACCTACAAAAATAAACGAATCACTATACGCATATCTAGATACTGTAGAATCATACATAGCAATAGACTTATCAAATTTAGACTACATGCGAATCAACGACAAGGTATTAACTAATTGTAAAATATTTAACGACGATTATGTATGTAAAATATACCATCCAATTTTTAAAATCACTCCACACGGATCTTGCGAAGTAAAATTGTATACTAAACTTACTCAGCGTCCAGAAAATTGTAACGTTAGACTCATAGTCTTAAATCAAACAATGCTAATCGAGCTACATCATCCGGGCACATGGATCTATATAACCCCAGATCCTATAGAATTAGTTATTACATGCGATCAGCATACAACGAAAATAATTCATATACAAGATTCTGGTATCATAACAACTAAAGAAAAATTAACTATTACCATCTCGCCGAAAACATTGTAAGCGCACTCTCTCTACAGGGAGAGGGATGTTGTACCCTGACACCCGATTATTGCAACATATGATCGACCATCGCTAATCGAGTAACGACCCGATTATGCCCGGTCAAGAATGTCCGAAATCAGCGACATACTTTGACGCGAGGACTGCGAACTTGCAGCACTCGCGCCTGGCAACATGACCATATATGGTCATGCCCGATTGCCAACAAAGACTATAAAAACAATAACACCTTGTAAAAGACAGTTCTGAGCACATTTTGAATAAAGTCATTGTTGAGAGTAGATCGCTGGAGTTACGATCCTTCGACTCATCATCGAACACCGGTGAATTCCAATTCTTTAAACGCTCCAAAACCCACGATATCCCAAAACCCTTTAAAAAACGCCTGAGGGCACAACAATATTTATTTTGGTGTAGTTTTAGTGGGCATTCCTCTCCTTCCGAGGGGCGAGCCCATGTTGCATGCTTGTAATAAACTTATGCATGTAATATTTCATGAATGCTAAGGTCGTTTTTGTTAATATTTATTTTGGTGTAGTTTTAGTGGGTATTCCTCTCCTTCTGAGTGGCGAGCCCCACACTATCCCCTCCGTTTGAGGGAGTGTGCGTAAATGCATTTCTCCACGTATAAAAAAAAAGAGAAGGAGGAGGGAGGGAGGGAACATTATAATAAAAACGGAAATTTTGTCTAGCAAAAAAAACGACAAAAATTTGAAGGTAAATATTGTTCACTTTCCTCTGCATCAAACGGTACTGTCTAGGAGAAACTCTGTTTTTTTCAGCTCAAGAGGGGTCCAGTTATTGTCACCGAATTCTTAACATCGGACAAGCGACAAGCGTCCAGGAACAAACCCCCGTACTCTCCCTTCTCCGAGCAGGCGTCTAACGATGAGACTCTTATAGATTATTAATTTTAAGTGAATGTTATACTTGTACTTGATTTTTACATTAAAATTATTTTGGAATATGGGGAATTGTTAAAAGATAACATGCTAAAATACATATGTATAAGATAATGGTGATAAAATGATTGTTACACAAAATGATCTAATGTGACGTTCGCACATCGACCGTCCAAACCACGGAGATATTTTTCCCTTGTAACGAGATGAAGACAGATGTAGTATTTGTATATTCGAACGTCACCTTATATCTTAGACTGAGAAGCGTTTAGCAAGTAAGATAGAACCTAAGCGATAACAGCTACGGGGGCGGATCGAGCGATCTACTTCTTGCTACATCATGTGCCCCTGATACGACCACGGTACGACCGCGGCTTATTCACTATCGTGAACCGCGGATTCGGTTGCTTTATCGTGACGCACGTAAATACAACGGTTCTCCTAGATCAGGAATGCACAAAACCCCGGTCGGCGGGCGCGTGTTCGTCTGGTAGCGCGAGTCGAATCCGCGTGTTCGTTCAAGGTCAGAATGCCTTCAGCAGCAAAGTGGGAAAAAGGTGAAAGTAGCGGACAGCAAGTTAGACATAATGGGAAGCAAGTTAGAGGAGTGGAGACGGTGCATTGTGTGTGTAATACACAGATACAGGGAGTCACAGCGAGGAATAGCGGCGGCAAGCGCTGGTTTTTGTCTATAAGCAGTAAATTCTATCTTGTATTTTCGAACTGGTATGCATTAGTTACAGAAAGCTTTAAAAAAAATATATATATATGTATATGTATATTATATCGTACAATATAAATATTGTAGCGATAAACTCGAAATGAATTAACCACGAATCCGTATTAGGAATTATTGTATAAGTCTCATGAAAATTAAGGGACCCGTGAGACTATTGGAAGTAAGCTTGTAGTTGTGGCAGGCGCCCCCACTCTTAGAGTCACAGTGTACCGGATCAGTGAGGAGTGGGGACCCAGCGCCCGCCGTTCACTGAGGAGTGGGGGCCCAGCGCCCGCGGGTTCAGACCCGCGCCCGCGGGCACACTTTCTGTGCATACCTGTCCTAGATGTTAAGTCGAAGCTACAGATCCCTTACAATTCTCAGTACTCGTTACCACCCACCGGTGGGTGGCCAGATCTAATGAGACCTTGCATCTTTTCGACGAATTCAAGCGTAGCATCAGCTAAGGAACCGTCGGCAGTGGCTATCGTTGGTGTCAGTCACCAAAAACTGATAAGGGGTAGACTAAACACCTAGGAATGATTTCGGGCAAGATGTTATTGCCAACGCCATGGGAAGAAATCAACCACCACCCATGAATTTTTAATAATCACGTGGTATGATTTTTTTCTCCTTCCTTCGGACCAAAGGTCCCGAATTAGGGGTATAAGGGTATAAGGGATAAATTAGGGGCTCGGGATAGTTGTCGTTCGAAATAGTAAGAGAATTAAAGTCGTCGCGAGTTGTCTAAGAATTATAGTCCTCGTCGAGTCGAGTCAGATATCGAGTTTTATTGCAGCTTATTTATAAGCCAAGGTAGTGAATCTTTTTATTCAAAACTGTAATTGATTGTAATTGCTATAATAAAAGACCGTGCGCGGGTCTTAATAAACAGTAACGTAATTTAACAAATTCACATGTTGCAATTATCTTTTCCCTTAAATCGTTCGACGCGTTCGGAGAGGGAAAAAGGAATAAATTATAATTAAAACAACTATCTTTTCGATTTATGATCGAGGCGTCGAAGCCGGTCATTTAGGAATCTTAAAGATAGAAACATTGCTCGGCCGTGGGTTTCTTTTCCGTCATCGTA